AAGGAAAAAAAAAAAAAAAAAAAGTATCTAGTAGATGTCTGGAACCAACTGCTCATCTTACTCCAAGCATTCATTAAAAATATTATTAGGAGATTTGAATGCCAAAGCTGTCAACTGTTTTGTTTAAACCTCACAAATAAGAAACCCAGATTTCGAAAATTGCTGTCCATAAGCCAGGTCTCTTAGGGCTTCCTGTCGAAAAAACCCCTTTATTTTGTCAAAAAAAAAAAAAAAATTTAAGGAAGTGAATGGGCACTATTTAACATATAAACTCTTTTCTTAAAAAATACAGTGGTGGTGGGGGGTGAGGGATAAAAATCTAGTAAAGTACTCAGTAAAATTATGTTTTTTTGTAAAAGGCTTAGACAGCCATAAAGTTTGAGGAGTAACTGGAGCCTATGTTTCAACTTCTATCAGAACATTAATAGAAGAAGCATAAATCTCTACAGGCTTTATAAAGCTTTATGGTAATTTTTCCACGTTTATTGATTTCAGGTTGGTTTTTATATAATTTTTAAATTAACTGGGATCAAATAAAACTACTCCCCCCCACCCTCCTGCCGCCCCTCACCCCCCGACCTGTGGGATTTTAGTTCCCCAACCAGGGATCTAACTGGGGCCCTTGGCAGTGAAAGTGCAGAGTCCTAACCAGGGAATTCCCCAAATAAAACTACTTTAAAACAACAGATCAATCAACTAAGCCTAAAAATTGTCACCAGGAGACAACGCATAATTCTTAAGGTTCATGGGCCTAATGAACCTTAGTTTATTAGCACCAAGTATACGTATACTTGGTGCTAATAATCTTAGTTTCCTTGAAACTATGTAGTACAGTTTCATTCATAGCATAGTTCCCTCCATTTATAGAGTAATTTCTCATTTCTTAAAATTCTCCCATTAGTTTGCCAAAATCTTTCCAAAGAGCTTTATATTAGCTGTCTTTTCAAAATGGTAAGGAATTTGTCTGGTGAATTTGCTTGTGAAATAATGTTTTAGGTTTAAGCATCCCATAGCTATTTTCCTTTTTATCTCAGTAAGAAAATGGTTGTCAGCTGTTTCTGGTCAGAACTTAATTCAGCATTAACTTTAAGAAAATAAAACAAATATGTTAGAAAGAATTTCTCTAGTGTTTAAACAGACAATTTACAAATTAACCCCACTGAGTAGACTAATTATGCTCCTAGAAGAATATCATCAATAGCATCACAGCACTTACTGAATATTTACCATGTATCAGGCAGTGTTCTAAGGGCTTTATAAGTATTATGTCACTTAATCCTCTCAACAAGTCTGTGAGGGAAGAAATATTATATTTACAGATGATGAAACTGAAGCACAGAAAAAGAATGAAGCTAAGATTCGAACCCAGGTAGTCTGTCCTCAAAGCCCATGCTCTCAACCCATTCACTATGCTGCCGTTAATTCTTTCACTCTGGTGTGCCAACAAAAACAAAATTCTATTCAACATCTGACTTTTTACAGGGGTTATGACGATATTGTTCCTTTAGATCAAGATAATTGAATGATTAACATCTGTCTTTAAAAAACATTACCTTCTGTACTTTAGCATCTTTAACTTTATTTAAAAAATTTTTTTGGTCTCAATGCGCGGCATTCGGGATCTTAGTTCCCCAACCAGGGATCAAACCTGTGCCCCCTCCAGTGGGAGCGCAGAGTCTTACCCACTGAACTGCTAGGGAAGTTCCAGCATCTTAACTTTATATTCAAGTGCTTGGGTAAATTCAATGCCTTTCTGCTAGATAATGATGTTTATGCCTTAAACCAGAGGGTCAATATATTAATCGTATCACATTGTTAAATGTAAAGATAGTATATATATACTTTATGGATTAGTAATCTCAAATACTTCATGCATTCTATAAATTTAGAAGGAATAACTAAATTCACTGAGTACCAAAATTAGCGACATTAAAGAAGGTAACACAAAAAATAAAATTCACAGAGAAAATGAGGTTAAAGAGTAACTCTGGACTGAAAAGACTGCCAATACAGCATAACAAACAAAAAAGGTGGTCTGATACTTATTACTTAAGTACAGAGTCCCATGGATATGTTTATTTTAGTCTCTTATTTATCAGCCAATTGTGCTTTTCATTATCACAAGAATAAAAAGATAAAAGTAGAGCTATTCTTTCCAAGCAGGGAAGCCTAGAGCCCTGTTTGCTCCATTTTCCTCAGCTTCAACCCACAGCTGCCCAAGACAACTCAGTGCTATTTTCTTACAATCACTCCTCAATTCTATTTTGCACATAGCAGATCATTCTTCCCGAAGTACAGACTGTTTCCTCCCCCGCCCCCCACAAAACAGTGCTTTCACATCCTGTAATACTTTGTGTTTATCTGATACTTTATAATTTTCAAAGAGCTTTCATGTTCACTCCCTCATTAAAACCTCATAACACTATGGAAGTAGATATGAAAGATTATTTGCTCTGTTTCACAGGTCAATTAATCTAGATTCCAAGATAAGTGACAAAGTCAAAGACATATGAGGTACTACGTTTTAAAGTCAGGACTAGAACAAGGATCTACCTTCTAAACTAGTACTCTGACCCTTGGCTCTCTAATATTTAGCCAGCAATTCAAGGCTTTTCACAATATGGTCCTTCCTAATATACCTTTCCAACCTCACCTCCCTCAACTGTGCTTCAACGAATCTAACAGAGACTAGCCTAAGACTAATCTTTGGGTTGTGTTGCAAGCATACCTTCATGATTACCATCATCATCGAGGTTGTACCATGCAGTGGTTAAGAACATGAACTCTGGGGGCCAGACTGCCAAAGTTTGATACTAGCTCTTCCACTTAACTGTGTGGCTGGGGAAAATTAGATAACTTTTCTTTACCTCAGTTTCTTCAACTGGAAAGTGTGGGAAAAAAATAATACCTACCTCACAAAACTGTACTAAATAATCTAATAATATGCGTTAAGACTTAAACCATCTAGATCAGTGCCTGGCACAGTCAGGTGTTTGCTTTTATCATCATTAGTACTACTGAACACCTGTGTATAAAACACTGCACTAGGTACTGAGGATAAGGAAAGTCCTGTTTCCAGAGGGTTTTAAATTCTAAGATTTAAGGTTGTGGGGAAAAAAAAAATCTGTTTTTTTTTTTTTTTTAAATGAAGATGGTATGAACTTTCTCAACATAAAAACCATATTCTTCTTTTTCCCTTCCTCTTTTTTTGTGACTCTTGCCTTTAACTTTCCTATGCTTCTACTGGAAATTAGACTAAGAAAATGGTTTTTTACCAATATAAAAACGTGCATACCTCATGAATTCAAAGCCATTCCTGTATATTCTATTTACTCTATTATATTAAAACTAGGAAAAGAAATAGAATATTCATTTCAAACAATTTAAAAACTAGACAAACTACAGAGCAATTATAAGAAAACTTCATGTTTAAATATTGCCTCAATCATGAAAAGTGAATTTAGTTTTAATTCTACAGGTATTCAATAGTTTACAAGTTGTACACATTTGGTATTAAACTATATTACTATGACCTAAAAGGTGACAAATTAGGATTAAAATTAAAACATAAAGCATGAATTAGGGTGCTAGAAAGAAAATTCTGAAAACAAAAACAAAAACAAACTGATAATTTTTAAAAGGACATACTTAACCCAGACCATTCATCATCGATATATGGTTGATTACGGCTACCATCCCACTGATAATCAGAAGTGGTAGACTGAGAAACTGGCTCAGCAGTAGACCCTTAAATGAAAACGAATGCAATAAAATTAAAAATGGAATTTTCTAATGATGTTTCATAACAATAGTTCTATACTTTGCACACGAAGACTTAATTATTTTTTATTTCTCCTGAAAGGAAAACTGCAGACATCAGAAAAAGAGTTAAGATAAAGAAAAGCAGAATTGAGGGTAATTTTAGATTAAGCACGAAAATCACTGGATTGAATTCACTGATCAGAAATATATTTTTTCCCTAGTACCAATCCATTAGATTTTGTCTTTTATAATATATACTTCAAACCAGGTATCTACAAGTTTCAAGAAGTCAAAGAAAAGTTGTTTTATTTGTCTTCTTCATGAAAAATAATAAAGCATAAAAGAAATACTGGAAATTTCAGGGTATGCCTATATCCTTAGAACCCTGAATGACACAACTAGAAAATGTCTGAGCTTGCTAGAACCTTCTGCCTAAGAAAAAATAAAAGAAATAGATGACTATCTAGAGAGGTGAGGCAGAAAGAAGCCAAAGAGAATAAGACAGTTGTGCTGGTGGTTTAGAGACCAAGGTAAGTTCAAGTGCACTTAAAAACAGGAGAATATTATCTTCTAATTTTTTTCTGTTTTTACTTTTTTAGGAGGTGGGGAATAGGTGGGGTGAGTGGGGTCACACAGTCCTTTAGCAGTATGATGAAAGCTGTGGTTGGACTACTGTCCAGGACTTACACAAAGTTTTGCACATAAATTAAAGGATGCCAGGTCAAAAATCCTTGGCTCTAGAGCCATAAATTCGTTTTAGAATAGAAATGTAAAGCAGTGGTTTTCCATCAGGGATTTATATACCCCAGACCTTCTGAATCAGAATTTGCACATGTTTTGGAGTCCTTCTTAGGTGACTGTGATATTCACTTTGCATTCAGAGCCACTGATAAAGAAAGGGTTAAGAAGAATACCTGTTAGTATAAAAGACACTTCCCCTCACAAAAGTCCTTACTCACTTATAAATTTTCACTTGGTTATAGATGATCTTACTAGCCTTCCACTAATACGCTTGAAATATACTCAAAACAGTTATACATTTTAAATATAAATTTTGACAAATGGAGTAACCCTATAAAATTCATATATAAATAGCACATTAGCTGCTTAGAAAGACTACAGTAACACTGTTGCTATTTCTTTAGCAGCTTTCTCTGAATATATGAATAGAGTAGCATCTGTGTTGTACAAAGTCACCAAATGAAGGAAGAAATTAACTTGTACCTCTGGAACTAATATGAGACCAAGGGTTGGCAAACTACAACTCATAGGCCAAATCTAACCATCCCTTTTTTGTATGACCCATGAACCAAGAACAGTTTTTATATTTTTAAATGGTTGAAAAAAAAATCAAAAGAACAATATTTCAGAACCAGACACACTCATTTGGTTTATGGATTGCCTCTAGCTGCTTTACTGCTACAATGGCAGAATGAAGTAGTTGCAACAGAAGACAGTATGGCCCACAAAGCCTAAAATATTTGCTATTGGGCCCTTTACAGAAGAAGTTTGCTGACCTCTATTCTAGACTAGGTGACTCCAGACACTGTGGAACCACAAGATTAGTACTGGGTCCATGAATTCCAACGTGAACTAAACATTACAAAACTAAATGTGTCCCATGTTTATGTAGTATTTGTTAAGTATATATAGCGTCTATATTATTAATAAAAGGCATATCCATGTAAGTAATGCTGAATTATAGTAGTTTAGTAGTAATAATGAATTTTCTAACTCAACAGATACTCAGAGGGTCCACATAACCCGAAAGCTATACACTCATGATGAATAAGGGCAGATAGAAATAAAATGCCAAACTGCAAGTAGAATTATGGTAGGGGTAAACTAGTAACCGAAGAGTGTCATGACCTTGAAGGGAAGGCCTTCTATTTGCATTCATCTGTGTGCCAACACACTTTCAGTTAAGTTAGGCCACAAAATCTTCCGATCTCCACCAAAGAAAGGAACTAGGCCACCTGCAGGTAAGAATTTAGGTCTTTCTTTATTAAGGCCTCTGCTACTTTATACTGTATATCTATAATTTATGTGGATAGCAGTACTTGACTCTGATTATTTTTTTCAAATAGCAAGTGCTAAAATTAAACAGAAAATTTTTTTGTTAACTAAATGAAAGACTGTTTTCACATACCAGAAACAGCAGAGTTAAGTGTGAGAGATGCAAAAGAAGCAGAATTCTGTTCAGAGGTATTCATTCCCCTATCCACACTAGACCAAGCAGCTGTTAAAATAAAGAACGTCACTTGGAACCTTCAATTTGCAATGAAACTTGAAAGATACGTATAGATTTATAACTATGATAATAATATTTAAAGATACCCTTAGAAATCAGAACCACCTAATATGGCAATAGCTACCATTTATTGAATGTCTATTATGCACTGGGATCTTTACACCAACTACTTCTAATCCTTAGGGCAGCCCTGCTAGGCAAAGTTTCAGAGCAGTTAAGTGACCTGCTGACAGAAAACACCCGAGCCATGACTGGAACTTAAACCTACTTTCCAAGCCCATGTTCTTTCTCTACTATAGCAAGCTACCCGATCATCTACCACAATTAAGCTACTAGTTTGGATCAGGCACTGAAACTTGGTACTTCACACTCATTATAGCCAATCCTCACAACTACTTGAGTATGGGATTCACACAGGTTAAATAACTAGCCTAACATCCATAAAAGCTTGTATGTGGAAAAATAGGGATTCATACCAAATAGGTCTGTCTGAACTAGGAACAAGCTCATTCCACTACACCATGATATCTCCTCAACGTTTTAAAGCAATTGCCTACTTACGTATGAGTATTTTAAGGAACGTATATACATCCATGAGACAAGTCACAACTGTCTCTTCTCAGCAACTCACTGCAAACCTCATTTAATATAGTTCCCTTTCAATTTCAATAAAGGTCCTAATCCATCTAGGCAGGAACTCTAATCTGCTGCTTAAGTTTGTCTACAGCAACATTAAGCAAGTACTACCAACTAATTTATGTACTAATTATGAAAATGCTACATAGGTTTTATAAGTAAATTACAAATATCTCAAAAGGTCATGGTTCTTAAGATTACTTGATAAAATTTGACTATTTCTTTTATTAAGTGTGAAAGGATGCTTTATTAGCATAGAAATTTATGCTTTTATTACTGCTGAAAACGAGGCTAGGAATTTAGGGATTGTCTCTTTTTCCAAACAAATTTTGATATTTCTACACAATTTTTGGACACTGCAGGGGAAGAGGGGAGGACAAGCTGAAGAACAATATTAGCAAATGATATAGAGTCTGCTTCTTAGGGATGTTAGTCAACATGAGTTTTTCTAAGCTTACAAGTGATGGGAAAAGCAAGTAACATGCAAAGAAACAGTTCTTTCTACTTAAACACTAAAAGCTCTGTAATGTCTATTGCTCCCCCAAACTAAAATAAACCAAGCAAAACATATCTGCAACAAGCACAACAGAAAAGATTATATGTTTAATGCACAAGGAATTACAACTTAAAGCACAAAGAAGAGGCCATTACACAAATGGGCAAAGAACCTGAACAGACAATTTACAAAAAAAACAGAAATGATCAACAAAGTTGTGAAAAACACTCAACCTCATTAGTGATTTTAAAAAGTTAACCAAAACAATTTATGTATTTTTTCTTATCAAATTAGAAAAGATTAAAAAAATAAGAATACTCAACCTTGGTAAGCATACGATAAATGGCACTCATACTGATGCTGACAGGATAAATTAGAATTCTCCTAGAAAATACTTTGACAACATGTCGTAGAGCACTGTAAACATTCATATTTCCTTTAATCCAATAATATCACTTCTAAGAATCTATCCTAAAGAAGTAACCCCCAAACAAATATATTCAATTCGACGTCATTTACATTTCTTTAAAAAAAGAAGTTATTTCTCTGATAATACGGGAATAGTGAAATAGTTTATGCTATGTTTACACAATGTATCACATGGTCATTAAATAAAATACTCACAGAAAGTAAAGAAAATGTTTGAGGCACAATATTAAGTGAGGGAGGAGGAACACAAAAATGCATGTATGATTTGGATTGTGTAAAAAAACCAAAATAAAACCCACAGAATTGTACACAGGAAAAAAAAAAGGACCATAAGGAAATATGAAAAAACAGTGGTTGTCACTGGGTAATGTATAACAGTGGGTTTTTCCTTCTCTTACTGCAGTTTTCCATATTAAATATGGATTTCTTTTCTATAACACATGCACACAGAAACACACCTGAAATTAAGTTGCTTTTAACTCGATGGCTCTCAACAGAAATAAGCTTCTCACTACTAGTCTTTATCTTTAGAATCCAGGGGAAAAATTAATTACAAACAGGCATTTTGTAGACTGTAAAACAGTATATAAATTGATGCTATAAACTGTATCTCCATTTACTATTTTTATTTAAACTCAATAGTAGAACTGTTGAAATTAGTCAAAAAGTCTGCTTACACATTACTCTTATTACATCACTAAAAATATACAATTATATCAGTTAGCTAAACTGATAATCAAATGTGATAAAAGTGGAAGAATTAAATAAAGAGTAAATAATAAATGCTATTGTTCACTTATTTAGTTCCCATTTTGCTCCATGTGAAGGATGTGAGATGAGTTAATCTATATTCTTTCTGTATAGCATGACTAATTTTTCTACTAATGGATCTGTTTTTCATTCTTGGAGAATTTTAAATGTACCAGATAGGCATTTTAAACAAACAAAATTTTCTAACAGTTCTTACCAATGCCAGAAAATATTGATCGGTCACTCCAACTCCTTCCCCAGTCTTTTCCATTTGCATTAGCATCTCCACCATCTTGACCCCAAGCAGATGGTTCAGTTTTCCTCTTGCCTGCAGAAGGAGGTGAAACAGAGTTCCACTTCTCCTCACCTGCACTGATCTGTGAGGAGAGTTTTACAGACTTTTCATTCCAGCCTCCTCCATTTACAGTGAGGTTTTCATTCAATCCTGAAGAAACTTAAAGAAAAGAAAATAAAGATTAAAAATGGATACACGACTCCTTGTTAAAACTGGGATATTTTCAAGTTTCTATAATTGCTTGATTTATATTTATATTTTTATTTATCCTCTAAATAGCTCAAGCTTTAAAGATAAAATGAAGAATTTAAAAAGTGACATGACCACCATGGATGACTGCTAATTTAAAAACTACGAGTAGGTTTGAACTTAATATGTATACTAATAATGTTTTCAAAAGCAGACTGACTGGGCTTCCCTGGTGGCGCAGTGCTTGAGTCCGCCTGCCGATGCAGGGGGCGCGGGTTCGTGCCCCGTTTTGGGAGGATCCCACGTGCCGCGGAGCGGCTGGGCCCATGAGCCATGGCCGCTGAGCCTGCGCGTCCGGAGCCTGTGCTCCGCAAATGGGAGAGGCCACAACAGTGAGAGGCCCGCATAACGCAAGGAAAAAAACAAAACAAAACAAAACAAAAAAAAGCAGACTGACTTGCTCAAAAGAAGTAAAACAGAGCAAAGAAGAAAACACATATTCTGGTATACTCAGAATACTCACCCACTAAGAACATAAAGACTTCTCCTTAGTTACATGCTCTTTCCTTAAATATTTATATATATATTTTGTATAAGGCAGTGATTCTAAAACCTGGCTGCACATTAAAATCAAATGAAAAATTTCTTGGGCTTCCCTGGTGGTGCAGTGGTTGAGAGTCTGCCTGCCGATGTAGGGGACACGGGTTCGTGCTCCGGTCTGGGAAGATCCCACATGCCGCTGAGCGGCTAGGCCCGTGAAAAAAGAAAAAAGAAAAGCCTTGAAATAAATGAAAAATTTCTTAAAAGTAGACACTGGAGCCTCAGCCCAAACCAATCAAAATCAGAATCTCTAGGGATAGAGTCCAGGCATCAGTATGTTTGTATGTATACATTTATATGCAGGTATATGTACACATGTGTATGTATTATCTGTGTTGTGTATACATATACACACACACACACAAACACACATAGGTGTGTGTATGTAAGTACATGTTTCTTTTTATATACGTGTGTGGTTTTCTAAGCTTCCTAGATGGCTGTAATGTGTAGCCAGGATTGAGAACCATGAGAATGAAGGAAGCTGACAGCGTTAAGAACAAGCCTGAAACGAGAAGGTGCTTCTTCACTTGTGAATTTACGTTTTACTACACTTTCGTTTTTAGGTAAAGGTATATCATTCTCTACTTAATTCAATCTTTATCATAAACTAGTAAATAAAATACATTTCCTGTTTTTGAAGTACTGCACAACTCTATACTATAGTCCATTTATTATGAAATATTTGATACTGTTCAGGAAGCAGTTTAGAAGATTACAGGTATTAAGGCTTCTTATTTAATTTTGGGGTAAAGTCTTTTATCCCATATATGCCTATATCAAACCCAAGTCCGGAAAAAAAAAATCTTTTTCTCTATTAGCTTAAACAATGCAAGCAAGAATCAAAATTGCATATAAACTATTAACTATCAATTGCATATAACTATTAAAGAATGTTTTTACATATAAGGGGAGAGGGAGAAACAACTAGAATATACCAAAGACTGTTAGAAGTGGGAGTGATTTTTCTGTTTATCTATTTTCTAAAATCTCTGAACTGTGATTATGTTACTTTAGTAATTAAAATCATTTCTAAGCCTTTTTTTTCTTTCTGTGTCATTCATGTGAGGAAAGAGACATACATATAAGTTTCTATCTTGATGGGCCTTCAATTTAAGTTACATGTAATTTCTCTCACCCTGAAGTGTAGAATCTCCTTTTCCAGACTTAAAGTTGCTAACTTGAACATTTAGATGAGAATCACCTGGTTGAAATAGAAATAAAATTTATTTAATACTAAATAGGCCACTATGCACATTAAGTTAGGAGTAACATACAATTTTTACTAATTATTTATCATAAGTTGCTCCTTTAAGTACTAAAGTCTTACCCTAGAAAAGAGTCACTTTTTACTCACAGCATATTTCACATGTTCTTAAGGAATTGAGTTCTCTAGTTATCATATTCTTAGTCAACTAAAATGCCAAAAAAGGACCTGGAAAACTGCCCAAGTATATATAGAGTCTCCTGTTCTATAATGGTTATCAAGATTCTTTAAAGCAGGAATTGGAGAACTGGGCTCTGTAATTGGATTCAACTTTGCCACCTCTCAGCAATACCAGCTAGGTGCCTTTTCAACAATCCTGGAAGCAAACACATCAACTTAGAAGAATTTTGCCAATATTTGGAGCAGGACTTAGGAAATATGGCAAGCGGTAAGACTACACGTTATAACAAAGATACTATTTCTCTGACACTGAAAAGCATAATGATCACAATGTATCAAAAACCCAGCATGACATAGGATTGTGCTAGCAAGGAAGGCATGCACAAGACAGTGAAAAAGAGTCACCAACAGAAACAGTACAGCATGGCTTATAGGTGACAGTGAAAATGGATAAGCAGAAGTCACTGCTGTACCACAGCAATAAATTCCACCAAATCATCAAGCAAAAAAGTAAAAGACACCAAGGCTAAGACAGAGGTTTGGAGACAAGTGGGAGGTGCTGGCAATTAATGAAAAGGTGAAGGAAGAAAAGTCAATGCCTGAAGCAAGATGAACAGCATCACTCTGTAGACTGATGTCTCCAGGGTAAAAATGATGGCAATGTAAAGAACTATCAAGAAGCCATCAGTATTGGATAGTTTGAACATTTGAAATACTTGGGAAGAACATTAGCTCAATAATGTTTGCAGTTCCAGTCTAGCTTTATCAAACACCTACAGCATTCTCAAAAAGTTGGGGTGATAAGAAATCCAGATAGAACCTGCATTATCCAGAACATGCTTGTTTCATCTTGGAATGAAAAGAATGGTGACAAGTCATTTCATTTAATGAATGTCCACTATAAGAAATGGAGATGTTAGGGAGTTGGGGCAAAGCAATACACGTGAGAAAAAAGCAGCAATCATTCTCTCATGTGACAAGGTAGAAAGGCAATTTTAATTTAACAGGCCATTCATTAGGCAGTATGTAACAAGTAACACTGCTGGTATCAGGTAAACCAACACGTGGTCCACAGTACTCTCACGAAGAAGGGTATATCAGCACAATGATGTAAGCAGTTTAAAATAGCCAGATTTTGACGTAATGATATTTTGTACATCTGACTGAAAGGAGTTGGATTTGATGTATCACTCTTATGTTCCACTAATATACCTTTATTCTTCTTGGAACCAACAGGAAATGATGCAGTTGTAACTTGCTCGGTGGTAACTGTGATGGTATTTTCTATCCCAGGGATAGTTGAATCCAATGAACCAGAATCAGACTGCACCTTATCACGTTTACGCTGCTGTCGTTTCTCTCTGTGACTAATTTTAGTTTCCCAGGCTCCTGACATAGCCCCAGAAAAAAAAATGTTATTCAGTAAGGGGAAGACAAAAAAGTTGTAGTTTTGGGGGGAAAACATGGTGGGGCATCTGAAGTATCATGATAAATTTAGATATTAAACTAAAAACCAAGAGTGCTGATTATACTAATTTATCCTATGAATTTATTCTAATCTCGCTGTTCTAGGCAGCTAACTGCCATTATTTATTCTGGTAATTTTTATCAGATCTGTCATCTATGGTTTAGAAAAAATTGATGTAAGTTATCTTGCATATTTTTTATATTGCTGGATAGTAATAGTAGGGGAGTGTTATATATACTTACTAATAAATGGGTTTATTAGGTGAGGACAATAAATGGCTTACTTAAGAATTTTGTACCCAGCCTTCTAGGGATGGTATATTTAAGAACAATGGGAAAAAAACCAAACCACGTTTCTAGGAAACAAAGACAAAATGAACGGCTTTTAAATTGCTCAAGATATTGGGCTAGACCTTAAATTTCAAGGCAGTTCCCTTCAAGGAAAGCATTGTTAGATACTTAAAATAATTTAGGGGAAAAACATGTCTCCTAACAATGTCACAGATGTGTACATTAAAATCTATAGTTATTAAAAAGAAGACCCAGATAAAAGACTAAGCGAAACAAATGCAGCTTTTATATAATGCACCTTGGTAAAAAAGGATTAAAAATTTTTCTACAGTCCTTTCACTTGCTCAAGTACCTTCATCAACTTCCTTTCCATCATGGCGTGAACTGTTTTGCACTGCTTTAGCATCTGACTTTGATTTCTTCTTATTTTTCTTTGACTGAAAGTAAAATAGAATGTTACTTAATATTTCATTATGTTTTTGAAAAGGTAGGCGTCAGTAAAATACATAATGAAATGTATGATGCTGACAACCAAAAAAATTTAATGTTTGATTAAAAAACTTAACATATTAAAAGGCAATAATAGTATGAGGTTACCATTTATTCAGTGGTTACTATATAAGTACGTTACATTCAGTTCTTTATTCCTTAAAAAAAGCTCACTAGAAAGGTATTATTCCCATTTTAGAGATTAGGAAACAAAGACTTAGAGATGTTAAATATTAAATAGGCTGTCTGGGTTGCATTAAGTTAATAAATTAGGAAATAGGTCTATCAGACTCCAAAGTCTGTGCCCTTAGACATCATGCTATCCTAACTTACATCATAAATAAGGTACTATAACATGATGTTTTCAGAGCAATAAAACGAAAACCTATTGCTAGCGGTCAGAAGGAAAATGATGTACTGATTACTGGTTTCTTGATTTCGTAAAGCAGATTGTTGGCATACTCTTCGTATAACAAATTAATGAGTCAGCTGTACAAAACAGGTAATATTCTGTCAGTTTCCAAGCAGTGTGAAAATACCTAAGATTTGTATATGGTAGATGTATAGTAATTCATTAAAGAAAAAACACCTACACATATACAAGATATGGACATTTTTGGAATGACTTTCCAATTCCCTTCTGCTAATATTTTCTCCTCTCGAAAGGTTACTAAAAACTTCATAAGGCCATGATTTCTATATTTAGATAAGTGTTTCCAGAAGAAAACTAATATTTAAAAATATAGATTTTATTTATACTTTGTATTCACTCATTTAACTATTTACTGAGATTGGCTATGTATGTATTACTGTGACTATTTACTGAGATTGGCTATGTATGTATTATTATGCATTATCTTAAAGTTAAGTTTACAACTAAAAAGAAATAGGGTAAGCAGTAACTGACAGTTTGAGTAAGCAATAAATGATAGCTAATTGCTTCTTATCAAGAAACTACTTGCAAATATTCTCAAGTGGCATGGGAATACATAAAAACAATTAAAATGTTTTCTTACGTTCCCCATAGTTAATATGCATCCGTTTCTTTGCATGTTCTCATTATCATTAACATGTATCATGTTTAAGGTACTGGTTTATTACCTCTACCAAACCAGGCTCATATCCACTTAAAAAAAATTGAGATATCTTTTTCAGTGTAGTTCAGCGGTTTTCAGTATCTTCGAAGTTGCACAACTATCACTGGTATCTAATTCCAGAACATTTTCGTCATCCCTAAAAAGAAACCTGGGACCCATTAGCAGTCACTCCCTACTACCTTTTCCCCACTGGCACCCACCACTAGTCTACTTTCTGTCTCTCATATCCACTCTTAAGTCAAGATGTAACACACTGAGCATCTATCAGTTACAATCTAGAGCAAGGTTCAGCAACCTTTTTCTTTCTTTCTTTCTTTTTTTTTGGCCGTGTGGCTTGTGGGAATCTCAGTTCCCCAACCAGGGATTGAACCCACATCCTTGGCAGTGAAAGCACAGAGTCCTAACTACTGAACCGCCAGGGAATTCCCAGCAAACTTTTTCTATAAAGGATAAAACAGTAAATATTTTAGGCTTTGCAGGCTGTATGGTTCTATATGTAGCAACCAAATAATTCTGCTGCTGTAACATGAAAGTAGTCATATACCATATATAATTAAATGGGTGTGACTGTGTTCCAGTAAAACTGCATTTCTAAAAAGAATCTGGCTGAATTTGGGGGTCAGAGTTTGCCAACCCCTGGTCTAGAGTAGTACTGTCCAACAGAAATATAACACAAGCCACATATGTAATTAAAATTTTTCTAGCAGATATTAAAAAGTTAAAATATGTAACATTAATTTTTATATTTCACCCAATGCATCCAAAATACTATCATTTCAAAATGTAATCATTATTAAAAACTGTTAATAAGACAGTACGAAAAAGAATGCTAAATAGCCACATGTGGCAAACAGCTACTATACTGGACAGTGCACACCTATAGAAACTAAAGTAAGTACCCCCACCTTACAGATAAGGAAACCTGAGGCCATAAAGAGATTATATAACTTGCCTAAGATATAGTGCTAAGTGTTGAAACCAAGATTAAAATCCAGTTCTGACTCCAGAGCCTTGCCTCACAAATATTTTCCTTTCTGACTCTCTACATATAATGCCAAATATAAATTCAATCATGTATTAGCTATGTGATTTAGGGTTGAATCACTCTAAACCCTTTTCCCCAACTGTCATATGGGACAAAAACTCCTACTAACTTCACATAAGGTTCTTTTAAGGATTAAATAAGATGTGAAAGCAGACTGCTGACTACAAAGCCACATGCATAAATCAGCTTTTTTTTTTTTAAAGAGGCAAGCTATGGAAAAAGGACAGGAATTACATTCACACTGAAATATACTATGATTTGTCATTAAAATAAAATCTGCAGAAAAGTAAGGGAAATTATCTTGATTTAGGCTTCCATCTTGTTTGATTTTATACTATTACCTTTAAAAGTAACCTCACTTAAAAAAAAAAAAAAGGTAACCTCACTTTAAAAGTAACCTCTCACTCAGATGAGACTTAGTAACATAATATACTATAAAAAGCTTTAAAGTGGGCTTCCCTGGTGGTGCAGTGGTTAAGAGTCTGCCTGCCGATGCAGGGGACATGGGTTCGTGCCCGAGTCCGGGAAGATCCCACATGCCGCGGCGCCGCTGGGCCCATGAGCCACGGCCGCTGAGCCTGCGCATCCGGAGCCTGTGCTCCGCTAACGGGAGAGGCCACAACAGTGAGAGGCCTGTGTACCGCAAAAAAAAAAAAAAAAAAAAAAAAAAAAAAAGCTATAAAGTAAATATGTATGCACACTACTAACTGACCCAGCCATCCTACTGTGGTGAATGTCTTACTTCTGATCAGCTCCATTACAGCTAACAGTTGAAGGAAAACTGAGAATGTAAGTTCTGCCTTCCTGTTACCCATAGTCCTTCCCCCCATTGTTGTCAGGCTTCACTATGGAGCTGGGTGGATTATTAAACTAGCCTCTCTTGAATGGTCTTCATACAATCGAGATTTATTAAATACCTACTATATGTCAGACATTGTTTTAGGAGCTCAGTATATAGAACTAAATAAAACTTTCTACTTATGGAAAGTGTACTATACTAATCTAATAGGAGAAACAGACATGTAAATGAGACACTAGGAGAAATTCTTATCTTCAAGGGCTTCCCTCCCATTGCTCATCTCCCAACATACCTATACCAGTCCAATTAATTTACATTTCCATTTAAAACCTCCCTACCATTTTCTACCATCGATAAAGTCTAATAACTTCCTCATATGATACAGGTCTTCCACAAATTAATCTCAACTGTATATTCTTTTATTCACATATACAATCATTTGGTTCCAACACGACTGTCATCTCTAAATATTCTTGTCTTTGCCCAAACGTTACTGACCATGAATTTTCTCTCAAAATAAAGTACAGCAGCCTTGGTGCTTAGGATGACTTTCCTTGTACCCTTTACCATGTACCCCCTCCCTCCCTCTACTTATGTCCAATGCCTAAAATGATGTGCATTATTTTTTCTTAACCCAGCTCAAGTTCCACCCCATTTACTTTATCTCTGTCATTTTCCTCTCCCCAATTAATTAATACCTTTTAACATCCTAAATAAGGATGCCAATGACTATATATAAAACATGAGTAAAGCTTAATATTTTGATAAAAAATAGTATAAACAGAAAGCCTAATATTTTCTTCCTTCATCCCAATGGATCTTCTTATGTGTTTCAATTTGGAGAGTACAGTCTTTAAAGCACATGCTAAAGTAGTTCTAAGACTATTAGTAATTTGCTCTCAAATTCACAGAACTTAAATATAAAAAAAAATGAACTGGTTACCAAAGAAAACACACAAAAATAACTTCCATAATTAAGCTCATCTTTTAATCTTAACATAAATGAACACTCTGTAGTATTAGACAATGCCCAAATAAGTGCTATCATTTATTAGAGTGGCAAAAGGTATACCTTGACAGCAAAAGCAGATCTATTCAAATGGCTAACTGCTCTCTTAACAGATACTGCTATTTTAAAGAACTGCAAAGTATAAAGAAAGGCAGAACAGTGCCCAATTAACGCTGAAAAGATTAACTTAGGGAGTATAATCTAATATTTGCATTGCAACAAAACTATCAGAAGAGAAATACTGTACAAATTTTTAGTTAAATGATACTTTATTTGGCAATTAGCCATTTACACACAAGGTAAGTTGCCAGGTTCGGAATGTAATCCTTATTCAATTTATTAATTCTCTAATCTGGAAAGTACTAGTCCTTAAAATTTGGGGGAACTGACTTCTCTAATACTTACAGCTCTGTAATCATCTAAAGTCTCTGCTGGTAATGTCAGGAGTGATAAAGTAAACAGAGCATGAAAAAGAGGAATGCTGAGTATTTTCTAAAGGTTAGAAATGGATACTAGAGTGCTCTGGTCTGCTGACTAATGGCTGGTGTATAAGGTTTTTCATTAACTCACGGCAAAAACTTTTTCCCGAGATTTTTGTTCTTCTTCCATTGTGTCAAAATTCCTTTCTTTTTTTGCAATGGTGACAGTGGTTTTAAAAATGTACTTGTATAATATCACTTATATGTGGAATCTAGAAAAATGGTACAGATGAATTTATTGGTAAAGCAGAAAGAGTCACAGATGTAGAGAACAAACTTACAGTTACCAAGGGGGGTGGGGGTGGGACAAACTGGGAGACTGGGATTCACATATACACACTACTATTGTATAAAATAGATAACTAATGAGAACCTACTGTTTAGCACAGGAAACCCTACTCAGTGATCTGTGGTGACCTAAATGGGAAGGAAATCTAAAAAAGAATGGATGTGTACACGTATACGTACACATACACATATACATATATATGTACGTATAACTGATTCACTTTGTTGTAC